GCAGCCAGGCACTTTCCTAGTCACCTGCAGCACTGACCCTTCTCAACTGAGAGAGGTCACATGTTATGTTAAACCCTGTGTACTACCCTGTTCTCTTCCCTCTCTCAGAGGCAGGCACGTAGCCACAGTGGGGCATGTAGGAGCATGTGCCCCACCACTCATGGCCCATAACTCCCGCTGCCCCTGCTGGGTAGGCGCCGACCATCCACAGGAGGAGGTCATAAATCAGGACCGGCAGTCATAAGAACATAAGGGAAGCCAATGTTGGATCAGGCCAATGGCCCATCTAGTCCAACACTGTCACACAGTGGCCACAAATACCAGGTGCCATCAGGAGGTCCAGCAGTGGGGCCAGGACACTAGAAGCCCTCCCCCAAGCACCATGGCCAATAGTCCTGCCATGTCCTTGCCTCAGCCTCCTGGAACCTGGGCTAGTGGGGACTGGGCTTGCAACAGCGGCAAACTGGCATCTCTTCTCCTACGCCTTGTTTTCCAGCCCTGGAAGCTGGGAAGGGACAGGGGAGGCAGGGGCAGTTGCATAATTCTCCCTCTGCCAAGGGAGGCTGGGGGAATGTCAGGCAGGCACGGCCAACTCCCCTGAGGGGGGATTCACCACCGCACTTTGCCAGCTGCTTTTTGCTGCTTTTAATACCTTGGCACTTACCACAGCTGCTGCTTTGAGGGTGGGCTTCCGGGGGGCTCCGATTGAGCAACAAGGCACTGCTGCTACCACTGCTGGCTACTAGGCTGTACTCAGGTAGTGGGGACTTGGCTCCTGCCCAGGTGCCCACTGCCGCCTCCAGCTTTTGAAGATCCCTCTCTCTCTCCCCTGCTCCCCTGCCCCACAGAATTTCACAATGCCCCACCAACTAACATTTTCTGGCTACATCCCTGCTCAAAGGCAAGATTTTCCCTCCGTTTTTCTTTCCCTTTCTGACTGTGTAGCCCTAGTGGTCAGTTTTCTTTTTTTCTGAAGAACTCTGGCTGTCACCTTTGTCAGTATGATATTTTACTGCTGGCTCAGCCCAGGAACCTGAAGGAAGGGTCGGGATTGCCCTTTAACTTAAACCACTGAAAATGCCACTTGAAATGTTCTGCAGTTCAAAATTAACAAAATATTTTATTTAGCATAGGAAAGATCAGATTAAATCAGGGTTTGAAATTTCTAAGGTAACTCAATATAGATAACTGAGGTAAAACCAGTACATGCTACAAGCATGGTCAGCTTCAAAAGGGAATTAGATGAGCATATGGAGCAGAGGTCCATCAGTGGCTATTAGCCACAAGGTATAGATAGGAGCTGCGGTGGCTCAGGTGGTTAAGACACTGAACTGCAGGCTGTGGAAGGTCTGTAGTTCAGCAGTTCGAGACCCGGGTGCTGCATGATGGAGTGAGCTCCCATCTCTAGTCCCAGCTCCTGCCAACCTAGCAGTTCGAAAGCAAGAAATTGCAAGTAGATAAATAGGTACCACTTCGGAGGGAAGGTAACAGCGTTGCGTGCACCTTGGTGTTTAGTCATGCCGGCCACATGACCACAGAAACGTCTTCGGACAGCGCTGGCTCTTCGGCTTTGAAACGGAGATGAGCACCGCAACCCTAGAGTCGGATTCGACTGGCTTTTGAGCAAGGGAACCTTTACCTTTTTATAGATAGGGGCTCTGGGGCAAGTGATGCTCTGTCTTCTTGGTGCTAGGAGGGGGTCAACAGTGGGAGTGCTTCTAATGTCCTGGCCCCACTGGTGGACCTCCTGATGGCACTGGTATTTCTGGACACTGTGTGACACAGAGTGTTGGACTGGATGGGCCTTTGGCCTGATCCAACATTGGCATTTCTTATGTTCTTATGACTTTAGTTCTTGTATTTCAAGGTAATGAGAGTTTCACAGTTACTTATATCTTTATGTTGAGAGGCTTTTGTTCCAGTGTCTTCCCAACACTCCAGTACACTTTCTTTGAGTATTCTCTCTTTTGGTTTCCAGAAGACTGGTACACTTTCCAGTACCCAAACCCCTTCTCTTGAAACACCAGTACTCAGCTTGAATTTTTCACTGACTACACCAGTTTGGTGTAGTGGTTAAGTGCGTGGACTCTAATCTGGGAGAACCAGGTTTGATTCCCCACT